GGGGGGGGGGGGGGGAAGGGGGAAGGAAAAGGGAATGCCTGCAGCCATGGCTCCATTCTATCCCGAGTACTGGCAGTGCACTTCCAAACCCGAGTACCAGCAGTTCAGTGTCAAACCTGAGTACCAGCAATTCAAATCCTTTTTCCACCAGCAAGTGTAACATATATCCCATACCCACACATAAAACTTCTCTCCACAAAGGCCGGGGGACTCAAAGCCGCACATCCTCCTTTTTAAATCTAAATTCCGTCCGATCAATGAAAAGTAAATAACACTTGTAGTATCTCTCCCTTCTATTCTCTTGCCTATATTTTCCAGTCCATTTCAACTTTTCTTATTTCCGAAATCTCTTTTTGCCTCCGTGAGACATATATCGAATACCCACTCGTATACTTCTCTCCACAAAGGCTGGGGGGCTCAAAGCCGCACATCCTCTCTTAAATCTAATTCTGTCTGATCGATGGAAAGCTACGTTACCGAACGTACACGTACGGGGCCTTTCCGTACGAAACGTACAGGTAATATCTGTACGGGAACCTGTACGTCTTGTGCGTACCCGTACGGAAAAAAAAAAAAGGAAAACCGTCATCAAAAAAATCCGGAAAAAAAAGTTGTGCTGCAACAGCACAAAACAAGCAACATTTGGCTGAGCGTCATATGCAGATTCTGCAAATTCTTATTATAATTTGAGGGGGGGGGGGAAGAAAAAAAGTCGTACGGGCCCCTAGCGTACGAGTACGAGGGTGCGTACGAGCCCCTAGTGTACGAGTACAAGTCGCAACGTAGATGGGAAGTAACTACCTTCTCTCCGTTCTATTCTCTTACCTATATTCTCCATCTACATTGAACTAACTTCGACTTCATATTTCCAAAGCCTCTTTGCCTGTATGACACCAGAAAATGTACAGAGTCTCCCTTCTATTCTGCTACCTATATTCAACATATGATCTCAACTTCATCCTTCTGAAACGGCTTTTTTAACGCATATGACCCAAACCCTCAAGAACCGGAGGCATAGTTTTAATGCATGTTATTCTATACTTCATTAGACAGCGGTTTATAAGCTGCCTGATAAGTGACTCATTAGAAATTACTAATAGGCTGCTCATCAATCTCACTCTTGATCTTCAAAAACAATCCAGTTTGTTGAGGACCAAGGGTATACGCTTAATTATCAGAATGCTACTCATACTCCTTGCCGCCTCCATTGCAGTCTAGTCTGGGTAGGATACCTGGCTCTCACCCAGGCGACCCAGGTTCGAGTCCCCGCGACGTCCGTTGTTGTCTAGTCTGGTTAGGATAGCTGGCTCTCATCCAAGCGACCCGGGTTCCAGTCCCCACGAGGAAAGGGGAGTGTGGGCACCGGTGTGGTCTAGTGGCAGAATAACACCCTGCCACGGTGCAGACGCGGGTTCGATTCCTGGCCAGTGCAAGAGCCCCTCTTTTAGCCGCGGGCTAAATGTTGCAAGAGCCACTATTTTAGCCGGGCTGATTCTTTTGAATTGGGGATCAGAAATA